TGAATGTGTACAGGAATCTGCAGATGTTTGTTCAGAATCCGGGTGTGCGTATTCAGATTTGTAAATGTGTAGACAAATGTGTAAATGTGTCTTTCAATTAGTGCTTTTTACATGTGACTTTTGCTACACTGCAGAGATCGGCAAATGCGTGTTTCGATCTGTGTGTGTGAGGAGAGATCACAATAGCGATATGGGGCACTGAATTTAATGAATTTACTCTTTATCAAACAACAAATGAGTCAAGGATTAGGTTAGAAAAATGACAGACGAATTTTTTTGTTTTTGAGGGCCCGGTCTCGCAGATTACTGTAAGAAACACAACTTTAAACTTCATTCACTGATTTTGGTGAACGTGGATCATATTTCATGGAGAATAAATGATCTGGTTTCCCTCTGATGTCCTCCAGCTGCTCTCTGCCTCATCTCTCAGTGATTTGTTTACTGGTGGACAGATAACATTAGCTCTATTGTTATTTAAGTATGCAGCTAGCTAGTTAACTGTGGCTGGGTGCTGGAGCTAGCTGAGCTCAGTGTGAATACAGCCGGCCTCGGGCTGAACACTGCTTACCCTGATAATGACCAACTATAATAAATAAAAGCCGATTCTTTCTTAAGCCAACTGCCTCATTATTCTCACAAATCTACTGACAATGCTGATGTGACACACATCTTAAACGTTGCGCGTTTGTATGCGTATGTAGCCATGTTGTCTTACCTCCATAGAGTAAAGATAACCTGGATTGTCATGCATCAAGTACGGCCACCACAGCTTGACATCGACTACTTTGAGCACTCCAGCTGGCCCGTTGGAGGTGGCCACACAGCGGCCATCTTTGTCTATCAAAGTGACACTCAGGGTGGCATTGGCAGCACCTTGGACTGACACATTGTATTTGACTAGACCTGAAACACAGAGGAAGACATCTTTTATCTGACATGTAGTTTCTACTCTCTCACAAATGCTTTGGAGCTGTTGATGATTGAGAAACTGAGTGGTTTCATTGTGTAATCATTTACCAGTGTTATCCAAGAAGTCAGTCACCACAGTGATGTCGTCCACATAGGCTTTAGGAGTAGTATACAGCAATACAGGACGATGTATGCCAGCATAGTTGAAGAAATCAAAGTAGATGTTTTGCACAAAAAAACCTTCAGGATACCTGTTGAGCAATTACATTTCCTCAGTATCTGAATACTCGCTGACACACAGGCAACAATCAAGCAATTACAATTCAATTTACAAAGTAAGACAAAAAAAGAACATTTTAAGAACTATTAATGATTTTACGAAAGTGAATCAGAGCAAATCAAAGTTCATTTCTTCCAGTGAAGCGAGTACACAACTAAATGAAGCTGTAACTGGATAAACTGGAGGAGGTTACTTGGTGCGGTCGTCCATGTGCTGGATGGTTCCTGGAGGAAGAGTCTCCAGAGTCAGAGTGTTGTTGACTGCGATGGTGATCCTGCACGGCACAGTTGGGTCCTTGCGGATTAAGCTGCCTATCTCGACCTCAAAAGGAAGATGGCCGCCATCGTGCTCTGTCACTTTCACCCCGTTCACCCACTGCAGAAGGTAAACACAGTGACTGCACATGAGCTCGTTCACATTATGACAAGAGGAGGGTATAAAGGGATCCTATCTCACAACTACAATGAGGGATTCTTCCAACTGTGACTGGAGTGGATTGGGAGGGGACAGGTGATACTCACCACTACTGAATAATAGTGAGCACTTCCCACTCTGAGAACCACTCTTGTTCCTTCATCGGCCACCCAGCGAGCAGGCACCACCACCTCTCGCTCATACCACACCCAGCCAATGAAATCTCTCAGTGCGGGGTCCTGTGTGATGTCATTGTAGCTGGCAGGAACTGGCATGTCAATCACTGGGCCGGTCTATGGAAGATAAGTGAAAAGACAATAGTTCATTTGTAACAGTGGGTCTGCTGTAGACAGTAATGAGTTTGTAGTTAACAGTTTGTATGTTCTCCCTCCTATCACAGCACTATCTAAGATGGTGATATCTCCTGTTTCTGTTTTATCTCCTTCAGGATATGGGCTCAGTGTGTTAGTTGACACTTAGCTGTACATTTTCTGCAGACTTTAATGGACTTTGTGGTGTTTTGCACCTCTTGAGATATGCTCAGTAGATTTACTATTATGTGTTTGTGATCTATTCATTGGCTGCATGATGTTTAGTCAGAGCTGCTGTCCTTCTCACCTCTGCCAGGCGACTTTTGTACCATGCCCTGTCGAAGCCCTGGTTCCTGTTTGGGGACTTGTCAGCCCTGAAGTCCCACAGCCCGTTCAGCTCCTTCACCTCTCTGGAGGAAGACTCCCGGGGGAAGAGCATGCCGGTGTCCAGCAGACACACCGTGTCCAACACGGCCAACAGGCACACAACACGGAACATCCCCAGCCTCTCAGGAGGGTCCATACCGCCACTGAGAGCTCTGTGGAAAAGTCACGCTTTTTGTTGCTCAGTCTGTCACATTAGTTATTCTGTAGTCACGTGACAGCAGAACTGCCTTTCTCGTGCTGCCTTCGGGTGCTGTCGGAAATTTCTTAATTGCGATATTAGGTAATGCAACATAATTTTACGTAATACACCGCCCTAAAAATAAATAAATAAACATTTTATAATGACATTCGTTCGCCTGACCCAATCGTGTTTGTATTATGAGATAATAGTTTGGTATTTATTTTATTAATTAGTATTGTTCATGTTTTTAGAAGTTGTGTTTCACCGGAAGCATCTTCAGGTGACTCTTCAGGTGAAACATGAAGGTAGCGTCGTGCCTTATTTCCCAACCAAATTAAAAGCCGCCATGTGCCCTGGCCTAGCTGGCAAACGTCCAGATCGTCAAAATAAAAGACCCAAACAGGACAAATAGTCCATAACACGAGGAAACTAATAATTTATTATAAATTGACAATATTATCTCGCCGCCGGGGTTTAAGTCATCATTCACTAATGCAACACCGAATAAAGGACACGAGATGGCGCCAGACACTCGCACATCAAAGTCAGCGACAGAAGCATCAGTTCACTGAGTGTATACCAGTGTCCTATAGCGCCTCCACATTCCCAAAAACCTGCTTTCAACTCATGGACGGGTGAACCTGCTAGGGGCCCCTGGGGTAAAAAAAATTGCTTTGGGCTCCCTTCGACCCCCTCTGGTTAAACACACATTCTGGAATATGCACCATGTACATATTGACAAGTACAAAAGGAGTACCACAAACTCTATATAAAACTATCTAGCTCCTCACAAACATAGTGACGATAATATAAATGTATTTATGTCTACTAATTTATGAAGCAGTGGTTGATGTTTTGCGTCCACGCCAGGCTCAGTTTTCTATCCATTGCAGTTTGTATAGTAAAATCACAAATGGTTTGGATGCACTGGTGGCCTCAGGGTTTAAGGGGGACTGAAACATTTCAATTTTACAAAAAGTTCTGGTAAACTCAGCTGAAGTAAATAAATTGGAGCAATATGGATGTACATACAGTAACTCTTCAATCATCAGCTTTTCAACCGGATGTGTCGAGCTGAAGTTTAACCCTCTCACTGAATGGATTGACATTACTCAGTCCAGTTCTGGTTTGCAATGCATGAGACTTTGGCTTATTCCTTATCCAGGTATGTTTTCCATCCCTGAATGCCACTAATTGATCTTTTCCCACATAACTTCTCCACCCCAGAGAGAGTGACTCCACAGTACTTTCTCTGTATCTTTTCTTTTTACTTCAGATTTATCTGCCATTTTCTTTAACCCCATGACCCCATGGTCCCACCCGCCAAAAAGTTTTTTTCTGATTCATTCTCATTAAATCAAAATATTTCACATTGACCAAGTAATATACCGTAGTTGGAACACTCTATTCCCAAGACATATCAAATCAACTACATTTTTCTTTTTTTGTTAAAGTTATGCTGGCACAAAACGAGTCATATTTACTGGACAGCTTAAGTACAAACAAAGCAGGTTTGTAATAAAGTGCTTCACAGAGTGACAGACTCATCCAAACAATCCATAGCACTGCCATCTGCCTGAAATTAATGTAAGGTTAATGGTGAGTTCAGTGTTAATTTCCTGTCTGAAGTCTGTCCCAGGTCATTTTCCCACCAATTCATTTGGGATGTTTCAAAATATAAGTACTTTAAATCTATTTTTGGAGCTATTCCTTTGGTTCCCACCCCATGTCAGCCATGTTGTGTTCAACATACTTACCCTTTGATTACAAATTCCTGTGGCAAAAATAAAATTTAAGTTTGAAAAAACACTCAAGCGTATTACCACAATCTGGTACGATTGTTGTTGTTCTTCTAAAGAAATCTTTAATGATGCATTTGAAGCCACCACAACTTCCAGTTTTCATGTCGCAAATTATGTGCATTTCCAACTGCGATTTATCCAGGTCAGACTAGACCACCAAATATATTTTGAGGCATCCATGCATATTTTTATGAAGCTCTAATGACACAAGTTAGTTCTCACATGCTCCACAGAGCGACAAATGACTTGACCCTCAGTAGCCATCCACAATCTGTTCAGATCACCCCTGTTGTTCCACAAGGCTTTACAGGAAGCTGTTCTCATCAACCTACAGACTCCTGCTCTCACTTTGCAGCTAGTGCACATCTGACATTTTTCCACACTGCTTTGACTCCTTCCCAAAAGTTGACCTATATCCACCGACTGTCACAACTTCAGATTTTTGTCACAGGAGTAAAAACACATCTCTATGTCTCTACTTCAAACCAAACTCACACATTTAGTCTCATGTTTGTCTTTGCAAGTCTCTCTGTGACAAATCCATACAGCTAAAAAAGCACTCACGATGCTCAGAGGAGCTGTGGTTTACAAAAGAAGTCACAACCTTGACCATGACAAGAAGCTGGCACAGGTCAGGGCCACATCAGACCACAATGAGGCAAGGAGGGCTTAGCTTTTGTTAGACATGTCAATCCATCAGGCCGCTTTGTTGTCTAAAAGTTCTCCAGTTGTTTTCACTTGCATTTGTGTTTCTCTTGGCAGCTTGTTTTAAGCTAAATTGCACCAATTAAACAGGAATTACAACAGGATCATAAAAAAGGGGGCATCTAGGTGTTTATACCCTATTTAAAATGTGTTAACTAGTTGTGAATCAAATATACAACCAGCTCCAGAAGTCCTGATGACAAAGAGAAAACACTGCAGATCAAAGAGAAGCCCTTCAGCTGTCATCATACACTAGTTATTTTTCATAGTCGACCTGCTGTTAAACTTGTTCCTGCATTTTTTTTATGAATAAATTTGTTGGTCGGCAAAAAATAAAAAGCAGTCTGCAGTAAAAACAGTTTTAAAGGGCGCTCATGCATGCATTATTGATAAGTAAGCAAGGGGGAGCGAGAAAGCGAGAATAAAGGGGGGCACAAGTTCCCAAAGCCAGAACTTTTGCTGATTTCACAGCCTTGCTGTGTTACCACCACTTCAGTGACAGAAATCAGGGGTAGTAACATCCTGAGTTCTGACCTGCTCGGACCGGTCAGTAAAATAAGTTACCCTCCACTAAAGGCACATGGGTTAAAATCTACAACATACAGATATGGAAAAAAACTGCAGAGACCAAACAAGGTTAATGGCTGGTTTACAGCGTACAGAGTACATCACAAATCAGCACTGTACATTCTGTGTCTATAATATGATGATATATTAAAATCCTTATCTCAGTCTGTATTTTGTCCAGATATAGTTAAAAATCGGACATGTTATATCCTCTGATAACATCCACAAGTTGATTAGCTATCAGGTCAGTTTCTTTATTGGTTTGCATTCAGTTTTGTGAATGAACTGTAACAGAAATTACAGCACTGTGGCCTTACAGCCATAGGGTCCTGGGTTTGATTCCCGGCTTTGTCCTGCGTGGGTTTTCTCCAGGTGCTCCGGTTTCCTCCACCATCAAAACATGTATGTTAGGTTAATTCTCTATTCAGTGCCCATGACTAAAGGCACTGGCTCATATCTGGAATTGGTCCCCCAGACACTGTACAGTGGGTGCCCTTATAGTACTTTTGATGGGTTGAATACAGAGAAACAGATTAAAATAAATTGCCCAGTCCTCTGGGAAAAGACAAACACATTATCGACTGTGTGAGCCACTCACAAGGTTTAGAATGGTTTAGCTATTTGTTGTTGTTCTTTCATTCAACACATGTCTAATAAAAGTAATCCAAAGTTATTAACAGAAACAGATTGCTGCTGAAGAACTGGTTCCAGTGTAGTGCGGATGTATTTGTGTGTTTCCTATAGTACTCTGTGTCTCTTTTCATTGTCGAGAGTGTCCACTCTGCTTGGATAAACATTTACTGCCCGGGGCCCATCTGATAAGCTCCAAGAATTGTGTGGCTTTGCTCCTGAGTTCTTCAGGCCATAATCCCAGCCAACGTCACCGTGTCAGTGTATTACTCTCAATTCACTGATAGACAGGATCATTAATTTGTGGGTATTTTATGTGAGATTTCAGGAAATAAGACATGCCATTTTGCCTTTATGTCTTACTCACCAATGTCAGAGAGAAGGAAGGAGAGCTTTCTTTGGCTGTCTGCTAGAACTACTAGTTGTGCCCAGTGAACATGTGTTGCAAGGTGAGGCTGGTCATTGAGACAGCTTGCTGTGCGTTTTCTTCCTCCACATCCTCTGTGGAAAGTCTTCAACACAGACAGGGTGTGTTGCAACACCTGAAATATTTTTCAAAGGTCTAATGTAATAAAAAGCCTACAAAAAGCCAAATGAGAGAATAAAGTTCTCATCATGCATCTAATATTAGTCATAAATAGATTATGAAGTGAGTTGAACATTATGAATGGGTTTGTAAATGTGTTGCTAAAGAGGTTAAGATGCAGGAAGCAGGTGGAATTTAGTCAGGCGTGATAGGTATGATATGTGACCTCCCAGCAGCTAAAACGCAAAGATTTTGTGAGAGTCTGTAAAAGAGATGTAGCTGTTATCAAAATGTGCAGCTTATTATGTTCATAGTGTCTAGGCATGTTGTATGTCTTTTATTGTGTATTTTTTTTAATCAATTTTTAAAAAAAATGACACCATTGCACCATTGTCTCCCTCCAGAGATCTGAGTGTTGGACAAAGGGAGGAAGCCCAAATAAGGGTGTAGCTGCACTGAGGGTCTTAGGAGGCTCAGTCAGATAGCAGTAGTGGCAGATTGGCTGTGTGGGCGCATGCATGACAGAGTAGGAAGCCATCCCTTAAGTCCTGCTGTGCCTCCCTCTGTGCCAAGGTTTCTCACTGCCAAAGCACCGGCGGTGATCAGGAGCCTGCAGAACCACTACCACCACCTCAGCAGAGATCTGTTCTCTCCTCCACATTTTATTAACGGCTCCTTCCTTGCAGTAATGCTGAGTTTGAGGAGGTGACACATTATTATTATTTCTACACAAGGATGCCATCTGTCTGTGTCTGTCAGATCTAGTAGTTATAATATAACCCAGGATTTATA